GCGTCTTATATCAGACGGTACGACTATCAAATCGATCATTGACTTCTGTGTACAATCTTCCCGGTACCAGTTGTACTGGTGCACTCTTCGATGCTCGAAAAAGGTGTTCATAATGGACAATCCGTTGTTTCCAAGAAACTGCAGCAACTTCATGCTGTAATTGTTGAGGTCGCTAGAATCGTTTTTTCCAATCCCGCCGTTTCACTTTTCAGCGTCTGCTCCACAGGCGCATTAAAATCGCGCGTGAATATGAGGGACTCTGTATTTGACAATTTATACGGAGTACACTGCACTTCCTCAAGGATGATATATTTCCTTCCAAATTGGGCGCATAGATCTGTATCAAGCTGAACATCTTATACTGTTGCATCTTCGGTCAGAGGGTTACCACCATTCCGCTGACACTCTACCTGAACACCAACATCGGCCTGAGCGCGCTTCGTAATGTCGACACCTGAGTAGGATATCTTACACCAGCAATGGTTTAGGATTCCAGAGCCTTTGCGTCTGGTTGACGAGATTCCAATAATGTCGAGTTGGTAATTTATGCCCTCATCAACTAATCTTGCTCTTTCGCTGCGGATATGCTGCAATTTCCGACTATAAGCTTCCACTCGCGGTTTCGTTCTAGTGGAGCCTTTTCTGACGAGGTATAATGGCATCTCTCTATCTGCCTGGATCGCTAATAACGTGTAGCGGCTCCTTTGTTGACTGGCACTTTCGGCGTCGTTCCATCGGTCTTCATTAGCCATTTTTGTGCTGCTACTGCCCCGGCTGACCGAGGGCAATGAGCAGGTTCTGATCGTGAGCATTTCGCAGTCTGCATCAGTCCCCAAACAGTCTGCGAGCCGTTGGTAACCCGGGCGACTACCGAGCCGGTGTAATTTCCGATGACGTCAATGCCATGAGTGGCAGGTGGCGAACCTTACGGAGACTTCGGCACGACCTGCCACTCTTCTCCTTTCTTACTCGGTCTTGGGACCTGCAATGGCGGAGTTCATATCAAGACTGAGTAATTTGTTGATACACAAATAGTCATGATGGAATGCAGTATATGCGTGGTTTATTGATATAAAATGCGATATTCGCCGTTCATTAAATTGTCGGTTTTGCCGCCACTTGAAAGAATCGGCTGCTGAAAGCTACCGCATCAAGTCCAACTGACTGTCATCCATCTTGCTGTGAAAAAAGAGTCCGAGATATGGACCGAAATATGTGTATTGTTCCATCGCCTGAGAGTGGCATTCCGTTTCGTGTTAATAGCATGTTAAATGTAAAGTGTAACGACGATAATAATTAGTGCTTAATCTTATGATTTTGCAAAACATCTGCTCAAATAAGTGATTAATTAATCCGAGGATAAACTGCGACAACAGACCCAGTGTTTCCTCTGTTTGCAAAAGCATGACACCAGTATTTATGAGTGCACTAGAAAACTGCCAGCTTTCGATACTACAGGCAACAATAACAATCTTCTGCGAGGCGTACTCTGACTCTACACAGTTTCTGAATCTACAGAGTATCGTACCCTGCTCCTAGCAGCCCAAAGGACGATTTCAATGGATCACATCACATTTAGGCACCTGCAGTGTTTGGAAGCAAAACTTCATCACTGAGCACGGTGGTAGAAAATCGTGTTGGAATGTCCACAGAAATGTCACTTTCAGTAGGCACTGACGTAAAAATAGCATAGTACATCTGCAAAATCGGAAAATTCTGTAAAGATAAATGAAAATTCTGGTTGCAACTTACTTGCCAACTGCAGTTATATAATTTCTTTGGAAAATGAAATATTTGGTGCTTCAGTGACATTATAAGCATATGCTATTTTTACTATCAGCGAAATAATTTAAGGGCATAATGCATTCACTATGAATAACAAAATATTTTCTGCCAAAGCGAAAAAGTCACAGCAATCTAATAATGTTGGCTAAACATCAGACGAGAATACAACAAAGAAGCAACGCAGAATGCAATGGAAAATTGGCAAACTTCCACGCCTTTTAAGATACTAGGACTGCAGTGGTTATTACCAAAATAATTATTCGCCTATCGTATTTCATGCGTACTGAAGAGGTTTACCTCTCTATTTTCGATCGAACAGTTAATGAGCACATGGACTCATTCTTTGCGAATCAAACGGGTTGTCAATTTCAGATTTCCTCAACAACAGTAACTTCCCTCCAAATAAAATCATTCATTGGGTCATGGCGCAGTTGGTCGTAGGGTGCTTTATGCAGCAGAGTCCGGTGTTTTAAAGCCAAAGACGGCATAAATTTTTTTCCAAATAACTGACAAGTCCCCTGAGCAATGAACTTTATCTATTATGCTACTGTACAACCATCAAGATATCTTGCCGAGCAAAGGGTAGGAAAAAATTTCCTGCAAATAATAGGTGAAGCATCAAATTTAGATGTGGCTACACCAACGCCCGCGAGACATGCGGCTAAGCTGTCTAATGCGTGAGTATGCCAGCTGCCGTTTCACTTTAACGTTAGTGATAGCTTACCGAAAATCATTCCAAGGTGCGCTGATTAAAATGAAAATATTTATTGACATGTATATGAATTGTTTTTATCTTGCACGATTTTTACAAGTTTCTTCGTCAAGAACTAATCAAGATTTTCTACAACAGAAATTTGGAGATTATCTGAAGCGGATAACAGATCGTCGCTGACGTCGAGCGCTTATTTACTATTAGTGCATTGTAACGAAATAGTATGAAATCCTGTAAAGACTGATTTTCATGTTTAACCCAATGTAAACATTCAACGTGGCCGTGAGCTGTCTTCGCGTGGCAGTTGTAGGCTTCTGCTTTTCTTTCCGCTTGTTCCGAAGTGTTTGTGGTGGTCGTAAATGTACGTCTGCACTTTTGTGCTCCCTTTTGATTG